GTCCGACTTTGAAGATAGGCGGGGCGCTCGACAGGATGCAAAAGCCTTGACTTCCTGGCCCCGCCTGTGGAGCCGTCCCAGCCGTTGGGGCAGCCTGGCAGCAGTGCGAAGTTATAGGTGGTCAGGATTGGCACAGAAGAGATGTTGCCATGCTTCGAGTCTGCTAGAGCTGCTAGAGAGACGTCTGGAAAGTCTGTGAACCAGAGCTCCTGCCTGGTTCCAGCTGGAACAGCCGCCTGCAAACCAAGCGCTTGCTTGATTTTCTGGTGATTCGAATCATCGAGATGTGTTGGACCGGACCCCGCTCTATGCATAGCTAGAAGAAGTTTACTTTAGCGAAGCTATATAAACAAACAAGCAAACAAATACATACATTAATAAGTACATAAACAAGTAAATAAACACATTTTCCAACCCTCTCCGACGCCAGGTCAGGGCACTAGCACAGACATCCTCATAACGAAATAAAATAACAAGGAAGCAAATGTTCATATCATTATATTATATAAATGTAAATATATATATATATGTTGTGTTCGTATTATATTAGTTTCTATTATAATACATCTGTCTATCAGGTCGCTTGAGTGCTGTTCTCAGACTTCCACGTCGAAAGTATAGGTGGATAGTGTGCAGGTCTCCACTCTGAATCCTGTGGCCGCAAAAGCCTGAACCGCTCGAGCCTAAACAGTCCCCACACCCTTCCGCGCCTCCTCGCGCCGGCTGAGCTTTGCGATCTGTGGTCACATCCTCCGGCACAAGAAAAGCACTAGTGCAAGCAAAAAACACACCCAGAAAACGCAGCCGCACCAAAACGGACAGAACAGCTTGGAGGGTCCTGCAAGGCGCGTGCGAAAAGGTCTGGACCCGAGGGCGGACGCCTTGTAGCCGAGCTTCTCTCTCCAACCCGGGTAGATCCGGTCTGCATCTCTCCGGAAGGTCAGGAAAAGGCGCTTCATCTCGTCGTGAGTCTTTGCGAACTCAATCACGCCATCACTCAGGCTGATGCTGCCGTACTGACCAGACCTCCATGCATTCCAGGCCTCCTCAGCCTGACGGCCTGAAATGCCGAATGGCCCGTCAGAGGTCACATTGGCGCGGCCAATGGTCTCGAAGAAGGCCGGCAGGTGCAGGGCGTTCATGCCACCTGGGATGATGACCACCTTGTCCTCCTGTGCGATGTAACAGGAACAACGACGACGAGAGCAATCATCGCATCAGCAACAACAGGAACATCAGCAATCAGCAATAGCAACGGCAGCAACACGATCGGCTTCCTCGTCTGCTGTGTCCTTCTCCGTGGACTCTACTTCCTTCGGAGGGACCTCCTAAGCGAGCAGCAAGCAGCTGCTAGAAACTCAATGGCAACAAGGCCTCGCACTACAGCTTCCAGACGAGCATCACAATCTCGGTTCCAGTTCATGATACGATTTAATTGTTTGGAACTCTGCAACCAAAGCACAGTCTCGGATTGCGAGGGTGCATCTTCCATCTCCTGCTCCTCCATCTCATCCTCCTCCTCTGTCTCCTCCTCTTCTGCTTCCTCGCTTTCACTCTCATCCTCTTCGGTCTCATCCTCTGTCCCGAAAGTTCGACATTCACAAAGCTACGCCACTACGCATTCGGGCTTACAGCGCTTCATCCGACCCAGCCTCCTCCAACCAGCCTTCAACACGCGTCTCCTGGCAGGAATGTCAACTCCTGTCCCGTCAGCTGTTCCCTCGAACTTTCGAACACATGTCAAAATTGTTTGATGTCTGTTGTTCCTGTGCCCTGTGTCCCTGCACGGCTGAACCACAGCAGGTGTACATGTCTGAACTTGCGCGATGCCTGCTGCTCCTTTGCCCTGTGTTCCCGCACAGCTTAGCCACAGCAGATGTTCACTTCTCAATGCCTGTTGATCCTCTGCTCTGTGTCCCTGCGTGGCTGAGCCACAGCAGCTGTACGTTTCTGAATTCAAACGATGCCTGTTGTTCCTGTGCCCCGTGTCCATGCGCGGCTGAGCCACAGCAAACGTTTCCGCAATGTGTGCGATGCCTGTTGCTCCTTTTCCGTGGACGGCTCGAGCCACAACAAGGGTAAGTTTCTGAAAGTCGTGCAGCTGTCTCATATCAGCTGGGAAGATACAACGTGCGGCAGCGTCGGGATCACTCATGACCTTTGTCTGTTCATGGGCTTCGTGTTAGCGACCTTCCCCATTGCCATGGAATCGGCTTCCTAGGACTGGGGAAGTTTCGAAGTTGGTTCGTTCAAATAGCTCCCCAACAAAAGACATGAGAAATGCAACGCTCCGGCCTCCCCGTAGACATCCGTAATGTAGAAAGCAAAGTCATCAGCTCGGACGTCCAGCGCCGGGTGCTCGAGGCCGACCCTGCCCTCTTCACCACAGCTCCACACGATGACGGTGCCATCATCCCCTGTAGCATAAGAACTCACGGTCAGTCTATTTATTTCAAGCAGATCTGGACCATACCGACCATGCACACTACACAGCAACAGAAAACCGAGGATCGAAGAGCCGCGAAGGTGGTTTCGGTGGCGCAGATGCTGAAGATATTCTTCAGCTCTGGCCCCGGATGCCCTCCCCAAGTAACCACGGACCCATCGCGGCGTAAAGCTGCGAAGGACTCCGTGGTACCTCCAGACATCCCCGGATCAAACTTACTGTTCAAGCTGGGACTGGCTGGCACCGCCAGGAACGGAATCCGGCCAAGTTGCTGGTCACTGCACGGGCCTTGCAGGGCAAGGGGGGGCCTCCCACCAATCGGCCTTTGTCACTGATGGCCTGAGGATCAAGCGCAGGTGGTTCACAGAGCAAAAGGGTATATCGGTCCATTTACAAGTTTGCGCCGTGAAACCAACACCCCCGACCTAGTGCGCGGTTGCGCTGCGTACAAAGACCATGCAACGGCCCCGTGTTCTTGCGTGGCTGAGCCACAACAGATGCGTTGTCTGTTGTTCCTGCGAATTTGTGCGATGCCTATTGTTCCTGTGCCCTCAGTCCCTGCGCGGCTGAGCCACAGCAGATGTTCGGTGTTCGCCTCTCAATGCCGATGCTTGCTGCTCTTGTGCCCTGTGTCCCTGCGCAGCTGAGCCACAGCAGATGTTTGCTCATCCAGGCCGAGGCCTGTTTTTCCTGTGCTCGGTGTCCCTGCCCGGCTGAGCCACAGCAGATGTGCATAATGCGCTGCCTGTCGTTCCTGTGCCCCGTGTCCTTGTGCGGCTGAGCCACAGCAGATGCGCGGTGTCTAGAACTGTGCTGCATCAGATCATTCGGGGAGGCACTCAGTTCGTCGGGTTTGCGATATGGTGATCATCTAAGGAAACAGACCGGTTCCTCAAACCGGTTACTGACCTGCGCGCGGAGATACTCCTTCCTCAGGTAACTCTGTGAGTGTTTGTTTGTGTCTGCTATACATGCACGTGCATTCCTGACTGCCGACCACCCGCTGCCACCAGAATATGGCGCACAAATCAACGCATCATGGGGAACTCCTTGCGAACGGAAACGTCTTGTGCTTGCAAAAGTTAGACCCATGCTGAATACATAGGTTGCCAGACGAGTTGCGACTTGGCCGTTGCCCCGGCGAAGGGGGGGAACCGTCCGGTGAGAGGGCAAAAAAGTTTTTGCAGCCTCCTTCCGCATGGCGGACGTGGTGCCACCATCGGCCTCGCCCAAATAGCCCTGGGCAAACCAGAAGGCTCGGGCTTGCCCGTCCTTGGGCACCTTGGCTCCCACATCTGCCACATCGGACCGTTCAGACACCCTGATCACATCCTGATGGACCCCTTGTGACATAAATACAACCTGCTGCAACATGAGCTGCTACCTGCTTTGCGTGTGCATGCTGCTCGTCAGGTATCTGATAGCAACAGCCCAAGAGCAAAACGTGACCAGTGAAATTTCTCTTTGTTCGTCAGGCTAGTGTTGGTGTGAAAATGCCAAGAAATGCACTGCTTCCATGTCCCTGTCTCAAATTGTGTGATTTCTGTTGTTCCTGTGCTGTGTCCCCGCGCGGCTGCGCCACAGCAGAGGCAATTATACACTTCTCAACTTGTGCGATGTATAAACATATATACATATGTATATATATATATAGAGAGAGCGAGAGAGAGAGAGGCTGTATTGTTTCTGCGTTGTTGTCTGGGCGTGGCCGAACACAACCCTTTAGGGGCCCCAAGTAAGGAGCACATGCTGCAGCGGCACGATGGTGAGCACCGTGTGCCCGAAGCCGGACAGTGTCGCCTCTGCGGCACGGACCAACTCTCTCGCGAGACCGTGGCCCCGGTGGTGGCCGATGCCAAGGTAGAGGATCTGGCCCGCGGCCTCATCCACGATCGCACCACCGCATCCCCCCGCCGC